AACAATCGTCAGTTCCTTGATCAAACCAAGACGAAGATTGCAGAACGTTTTGGCATCACGGACCTTGGACCAGTCACTAAGTACCTCAGCATCCAATTCATCCGTGATCGTCAAACTCGAGAGCTATGGATGCATCAAGAAGACTACATCGTCTATCTCCTTCATGAACATGGCATGTCTGACTGCAATCCCGTCTCACTCCCCATGGACCCAAACTTTCCATTCGGCCGTCCGACCGATGTCTATCCTCACATGGATGACTTGCCGATGGAGTATCGCAAGCTTGTAGGGGAACTATTGTACCTCGCCATGTACACACGACCAGACATAGCTCACACTGTCATGCGTCTTGCTCAGCACAATTCATCGCCAGAACCATGTCACTACACCGCTGCAAAACATGTCCTCAGGTATCTTGCAGGGACCCTCAACACTCGCACTCATTACGGGGGTGCTAACATCAATCCTGCACTGCATGGCTTCAGCGACTCAGACTGGGCGTCTTGCCCCGAGGATCGCGTCTCCGTGACTGGTTATGTATGGTTCTACAATGGAGGTCTGGTGTCACACTCAGCTAAGAAGCAGACGACGCATGCTCTCTCGTCGATGGAGGCTGAGTACATGGCGTTGACAGCTGCAATCCAAGATGGTCTATGGTTAAAATCGTTCTTCAGCTGCATCGGAATCATTGTCAACCTCCCTCTTCAACTATTTGCCGACAATATTTGCAGGAGCAATCACCCTATCTAAGGAGGCCGCAAACCACATACGCACGAAACACATCGACTTGCGATATCACTTCATCCGTCGCCACATTGAAGAAGGTACCTTCGTACCAATCTGGCTGTCAACTCACAAGAACACCGCCGATATCTTCACAAAAGCCCTACCTCATCCTATTTTCACTCAGAATCGCTCCGGTCTAGCTCTTGTATCGCGTTGAGGGGGTGCAGTTGACGAATAATGTCTCGTTGAGGGGGTGTGTTGGAAGTCACGACATAGTGTTATTTATCATCACGGATCCTTTACGTAATCTTACCTTATAAGCTCGTCACATCGCATCACGCATACCTCAGCAGTTCTTTCCCGAACGCTGAGGTATGTTCTACGTTTCCTTTGCACGCCGTCTCCGTCTTACAGTTCTTTTCTCTCTAGACATTGTCTTTAGGTATTGTTAATATGTCAGCAGTTCTTTCCCGAACGCTGAGACATTGTCTTTAGTTTCTACCTTCATTATACACTGTATCAGTGCAGGTTCAAAACCTGCTGATGAGTTTTTTCTATCCGAACACGCCTTGAAGATTCACTGATGGACATTTCCTCGGAGGTTCATTTCAACTTCGCCTTGCCCAAACTGGTTACTCTAACAGAATCGAAATCTGTCTCTTGGACTGTATCATGGCAGGTTCAAAACCTGCCGACGATGTTTTTTCTCTCAGAACACGCCTTGAATATTCACTGATGGACACTTCCTCAGACACTCATGTCAACTTAGCCCTGGCCAAAGTGGTTGCTCGAACAGAATGGAAATCTGTCTCTTGCACTGTATCAGTGCAGGTTCAAAACCTGCCGATGATGCTTTTTCTCTCAGAACACGCCTTGAAGATTCACTGATGGACAGTTCCTCAGACACTCATGTCAACTTAGCCCTGGCAAAAGTGGTTACTCGAACAGAATGGAAATCTGTCTCTTGCCCTGTATCAGTGCAGGTTCAGAACCTGCCGATGATGTTTTTTCTCTCAGAACACGCCTTGAATATTCACTGATGGACAGTTCCTCAGACACTCATGTCAACTTAGCCCTGGCCAAAGTGGTTGCTCGAACAGAATGGAAATCTGTCTCTTGCACTGTATCAGTGCAGGTTCAAAACCTGCCGATGATGCTTTTTCTCTCAGAACACGCCTTGAAGATTCACTGATGGACAGTTCCTCAGACACTCATGTCAACTTAGCCCTGGCCAAAGTGGTTACTCGAACAGAATGGAAATCTGTCTCTTGCCCTGTATCAGTGCAGGTTCAGAACCTGCCGATGATGTTTTTTCTCTCAGAACACGCCTTGAAGATTCACTGATAGACATTTCCTCGGAGGTTCATTTCAACTTCGCCTGGCCAAAGTGGTTACTACAACAGATTCGAAATCTGTTTCTGTTGGACTTGCGCAAGCTCGAAACCTGCCGACCACAAGGTTTTTTCTATCGGAACACACTTTGACATTCACTCATAGATGGATTCCTCGGAGGTTCATCTTACCTGGTCTTAACCAAGTGGTTACCACAACAGAATCAAAATCTGTTTCTCTTGCAGTCGGTTCGAAACCTGCTGACATCATTTTTGCAGTGTATAGATCCTCAGAGCTCCGTCTTAACTAGGCCCAGTCATTGCGCCGAAACCTCCTTTTTATGTGATAGTCTGTCCATGAAATATAATTCACCTTCACGCCTCGTGCAAATCATCTCAGAAACACAAGGTATATCCCTGAGATGTGTACGTACCAACCTAGATTCTCGACGGACTAACCAAAACTGTCGGGATTCACCACCAAATAAAACATTGGCAGGGCTGGAGGCCAGAAGAATGCACGCAAGCTAAGGACAGAGTGAGTCTGACGGTCAGGCAGATGATGTAACCTCCCCAGCCTCGATGAAGTCTACTGTCTTATCGATGAACACTCCTTCGGTTGTTGGCTCTTCCAAAGCGACCGAGGATGATTCGAAAGCTAAAGATGGGAGAATTGAAAGTGGCAGACCGAGCAGTGTCATTCTGATATGTGTAGTTTGCGTGCGCTCCTTTTTGTGTTGATGCTGCCAGTGGGGCGGAACATACTTTCGATTGCTGCAGCTAGACCCGGGCAACTGGACGGAGATATCGATAGAGAGGTCAACGCGAAACTCGTTCATGCGAAGCAGGCTTAGGCACGACGGACTACAGCATCGCCTGCAAGTTGCTGATCCATTGTGACAAACAAGACAGGAGGGACCAAAGCCAATGGTGAAGACAGAGCAGAAGGCGAGGACGCGGACGCGGTGATGAGGTGAATAACGACGGAAGGCAAGAAAGCCTTCAAGAAAACAAGCATTAGTAAGGGAACAGGGGCGAGACAACAGGACAACTGCAATTCAATCTGGTCTGTCTCGGAGAGCTTGGCACGCGAGGAATTCGAGATAGCGCGCGCGTTTGCTCGACTGAGTAAAAGGCTCATGGAGAAGTTCAGCAGCAAAGTTACATCTCGAAGCCACCAAATGAAAAGTAAGTCACCACAATATTCGATACATAGATGGACACGCAGGAGGCACGCGCATGCTAGTAGTAGTAGCGGCGATTACTATCAGCGCTCTGACCGACAGCGAGCCAGAGCGCAAGTCATCATAGGAAAATCATCAATCAAATGATGGAGACTCGAAGCAGATCTACAGCTGTATGAGTTGAACAACGTTCCGAATCCTAGAATAATGGAAAAAATAGCTCAAAACCTACCAAGGTCTGGACCACTGGTGCAAATTTACTGACTTGGATGACTCGAAGGTGCACGAAGTCCTCTTACCTATTACGGACGCGTGACATCTACGCAGCAACACTGCTTGTTGCTTTCGTACTCGCCGTATACTGCTCAACTTATTTCGGTTCATCGCACCTCCCCACCACTCCCCTTTAGCAGCATGCGTCTTGGTGAAAAGGTCACAGTTTTTAGATTGACTCTTATCATCGTTGTTAATAAACTCACAGGATCGATTACTTCGCGCTTGATTGAATTCTTTACTCGGCGCATCACTTTCGACGATATAACGTTACGGAAACTCTGGGCAGTGAACTGCTTAGGCCCACCCGGCCACCCTCACGGCTCAGCGCTCACCCTGAGCTCTTTGTGGAGGTTCGAAACGATGCTTCGGCTCGAAAACCCGCAGGGTTTTCGCCCACAAAGCCTCAAACAGCCTGACCTTCTCTTTTGATTATTTGTACCTATCAGGTATCATCGGTCATGATACCTGGTATCTGGAACCGACACTAGCAGCAACGCATAGAGCAACATATTTTTAGTGAGATCCTATTCAAATATCGGACTTCTATGGCTGATACTTACTCCTGAAGGTGCGTGATTATCTTCCAATACCAGCACAGACTAGCACTCATAGTCCAAGATATCATATCTCGTTTTCGCAATTACAGGTGATTGATGTCTCTCGATCTCTGGCGATACCTGTGGCTAATGACAGCTGTTACATAAAAAACCCTAGGACGCCTTACACAACACGCATGTAATTTCAAACACAGCCCGACCTTATCCTAGGTTTCTGGACCCACCTCTACAATGTTGATAGTCCCTTGATCCGTTCTATGGGCACAACAACGACATCTGACATGAGGAGCGTTCGGAGTTTGAAATACGGTGTGTAGTTGTGGGCGAGAACTCCGCACTAGAATCTGGAACCAAGGATAGGAAGGTAGTTGATGTATTGATGATTGAAGGTTGATAACGTTAGAGTTCCAGCCCAGTAGGGAAGGAGCCTGATTGTTAGACTTTAATTAGCACCCTTGCGGTCGCAATTCGAAGAATTTCCAACTTCCATGGACTTGGCGCGAGCGCGGAGCGCGGGAGTTATTGTCTTCGCGGCTCATGTCATTCAAAGTCAGCAATCGATTAAAAGATGCACGAGGCTTATCACCTCCTATCGATCTTGTATATCACACAGCAATCATACCGCAATCACAAGGTGAGATATTTGAAACGGAGCTACGACCTCCATGTCACCCACCTATATAAACTTGGGGTAAGCACATCAACGGGCTCTACTCAGCCTGACTCATCTGATACCAACCACCGTGTCATTCAGTCAAGTCACTACTATTAACCACTCTCTGGGCAAAAAATGAACTTCAAATCACTTGCCCTATTCCTCACTGCCGCTGCAGTCCCTCAGGCTGTAGTCGCGGGTCCGCTTGCCTACGGTATTTGCCAGACGGTAAGGTCTAATCACATCATTGTGCACCGCGGCTGACTCGACTTGTTCAACAGGATGCAATGGCCTGGCTGTCGCTTGCTACGCCGGCGCCGGGTTCACATTCGGAGTCGCGCTCCCTTTAGCACCTCCTGCGGTGATTGCATGTAATGTTGCCCTTGGGGGGTGTATGGCAGCTTGTGCCGTGATCGCGCTTGCACCCACTCTATGAGTGAGTGCAATCGTGAATGTGGCGACGAGAACCCACAGGCCCCCCCTCTTGCGTGATGAGAACGGCGTCTTTGTTGTAGCATGACAACACGGTGCAGGTTTAATGGTGTACAGAACAACCATGGACTCTTACGTATCTGGCTCTCGTTTATCTTTCCTTTTCTCTCACAATCGGTCACCCCAAATATCGAGGGTCCATGTCTTGCGGTTCCCATTTTACGCTAGATATGGACTCGCTGTGTTTAGCCTGTACGATGATTTTTCTTCTCATGACATCGGTAACTTGTAAATCGTATTCAAACCTCGGCAGAAAATTCCAATTGAACATGCGGTTGTTGGCAAATGCTTTAACAGATCTAAACAAGCTTTTCATCTTAAATCATTTCCAACAGCCTCAACTGTTCTTACAACAATTGAGCGGTTCCAACAGGTAATACGAAAATTCCTATGGCTCATCGAACCACGCACCAAACAATTTGCTATTTGTTTGACCTTCAAAACGGATCGATTTTATCAGGAAACTGGACAGCTCGACGACTGCTTGCGCCGTTACAATCGCGGCTAATGCCATTCGAATTCAGAAATGAAGCAATGAGTGAGAGTATGCTATTTATAAATGGGATATACCACCATGTGTGTCACCTCGCTTGTACTTAGCCCCCGCTAACGCGAAGTGGGGTCGCTTTGCTTAATTTTACGCACCACAAGGCAACACAAACATATTTTGGAGCGGAGCTGCGATCTCATGTCACCCACGTATATAGTTGGGTAAACACACTAGTCACTGTCCCCACCAGGCTCTTCTAATACCAACCGCCATCTCATTCAACCAACCAAGCTGCTACTATCAACCACTCTCTGCGCACAAAATGAACTTCAAATCACTTGCCCTACTCCTTACTGCCGCTGTAGTCCCTCAGGCTGTAGTCGCAGGTCCACTTGCCTATGGTATTTGCCAAACAGGTAAGGTCCAATCTCAAATATTATTGCTTACTGCTGACTCGACTTCATCAGGATGCAATGGCCTAGCTGTCGCTTGCTACGCCGGCGCTGGATTCACATTCGGGGTCGCACTCCCTGCAGCACCTCCTGTGTTGATTGCGTGTAATGTGGGCCTTGGAGGGTGTATGGCGGCTTGTGCCGCGGTCGCGCTTGCACCCACTCTCTGAGTGGGTGCAATCGTGAATGTGGCGACGAGAACCACACGGGCTCTCGTCTTGCGTGATGAGAATGGCGTCTTTATTTGACAACGCGACGCAAGTTTAGCGGTGTACAGAATTGGTACAGAACCAGAAATACAACCACGGGCTCTTACATATCTCGTTTCGTGTGTCCTTCCTTTTCTCATAGTCAGCTATCGAGGGTCTATGTCTTGCCGTCTCCATCTTGCGCTAGCCATAGACTCGCTGTATCTAGACTATGATTCTTTTTCTTCTCGTGGCATCGGTATCTTGTAATTCATATTCAAACCTTGGCGGAAAATTACAAATGGACATATGTGCGGTTGTTTGGCAAAGGCTTTAATGGATCCAAACAAACGTTCATGCTTTCCATCTTGGATTATATCCAATGGCATCAATCTATTAGTATAGGTCATTCAAAAATTCCTATGGTTCATCGAACCACGCACCGAACTGTTTCACCTTCAAAACGGGCTTCGCTTGCGCGGAGCGCTGTCACAATCGACATACCGCGGCTAATGTCATTCAAAGTCAGAAATGAAACAATGAGTACATTGTTTATGGGACACACCACCACGTGTATCACCTCGCTTGTGGACCCCGCTAACGCGAAGTGGGGTCACTAGTACTTGCGACATATTTATGTTTTGGAGCGGAGCTACGATCTCATGTCACCTACGCATATCATATAGTCGGGTAAACACAGCAAGTCCACCAGGCGCTCTGGTACCAACCATCATCTCGTCTACTCAACCGGTCACACGGTGTTCCACAGAACATGAGTAATCCTGGTATGGGGCTGCTTATCGGATGTCAAACCCATGATCAATAACCCTTCAGCTATGCCAGAAGGGTCACCTCACAACGCTCCCGCTGCTCCAGGCCAGAGAAGGTCCAGGCCTTCATCCAACCCTACGGGGCGCGCACACAGCACTGCACCCCTAGCAAATACCATCAACTCACACATCACGCAGTTCCCTGCCCTGAATGGGATACGTCCAGTCCCTCCGGCTTCGAATCCCGCGAGCCAACCACAATCCAATCTATCTGATATATCACCTAATTCCATGTCTTCAGACCTCGTTGAATCTATGTCAGCATTGTCTGTGTCAGCATCGGAGGACCTAGACCCATTCGCGTTTCGTTCAGTCCCTCCGGCTTCGAATCTCGCGAGCCAACCACAACCCAATCTATCTGATCTGCCACCTAATTTCATGTCTTCAGACTTCATTCAATCTATGTCAGCATTAGAGGACTTAGACCCATCCATGTTTCGGACAGACTTTGAGGAAGACTTCCGCGAATGGTTCGATCCAACCAGTGTGGATGCTATTACTCCAGGCCGGAGAGGGCCTTCATCCAACCATACGGGGAGTGCACACGGCACTGCAACCCCGACTCCAAATACCATCAACTCTAGCATCACACAGTCCCCTGCTCTGAACGGGATACGTTCAGTCTCTCCGGCTTCGAATCCCGCGAGCCAACCACAACCCAATCTATCTAATTTCATGTCTTCAGACTTCATTCAAGCTATGGCAGCATTGGAGGACCTAGACCCATCCATGTTTCGGACAGATTTTGAGCGAGACTTCCGTGAATGGTTCGATCCAACCGGTGTGGATCTCAGGTAAACGGTGGATGGAAGATATGAGTTTTCCGGGCTGTGTGTTTGCTTCATTCCTCTTTTACCTCGATTCATACATGTACAAGTTTCTTTTTTTTTACGCTGATCCCCTTGTTTTCTCCCTTCGCGCGGAATTAGGGTGTCTTAGTTATTGCAAAAATTGCAGCCAGCCGTGACATCTTGGCTCCTCCCAGTTTAGATAGCTTATTTTTGTCGTCGGCTTGTTGCGATAGTCCCACTTGCTGTTTGTTACCTCGCGCGGTCACCCTCTCATCTTGGTGCATGTATAACTAATCTGATCATGATCTACTTCTTGCTCATCCGTGTTTCATATGCCTCGACATGTCTCATAGCACCCAAACACGCTACAATGAAGGTAAGTCGCGGACTCAAAGTGGGCTGGAGCAAAGGACATGAAGGTACCGTGCACAGAAACAGCAATGACATGCGTGGGCTCAAGTGACATCTCGAACATGACCGAAGGTGCGATACGAGAGCAGACTCCAACCCCGATAAAATGCATCAGGGGTCGCAAACACGGCAGGATGGGCATCCCATCAGCTCTCGGAGGTCGTGGTTCCAGAAGCCGATAGCCCATCATCTATCATTCGAACAAGGGCCAGGTGAAAACGATGCGGCATTGCCACAAATCAAGCATCCAAATTTCTTAGCGAAGTTTAACAATCCATATTTTCGCACAGTTCCATGGAATAAACTGTCAATGAGAGACCGATCCAGCATCGTCTCTGCACGGAGAGGCCAAAATTCCAAATCTGTTTGGAAATGGCTGATTAGGGTTCCTCGATGAGTGGGTTTTAGGGTCTGGATGTGCTGAAGGCCACCGGATCTGGGATCTGAAGCTTCCCTAGCCCTCCCCCAACCGTAAACTACCCTCGGTGGGTCATAGTTACTATGAGCAGCTGCCTCGGAACTTTTACTCTCTCTGGCTATATAGGCTCAGTAGTATCAGTCCTAAACAGAACGAAATGGTTGGCGCGATCGGAGCTAAGCCCCCTGACCACAACTTTCGCAGGTTCGAAACCTCTGCCATCCCCGCCGCCTAGCGTCAGGCCTCTTGCCCTAGCTAACAGACCCTTATCCTAGGAGACGGGTGACTGCAGCGTGTTTTATTCACAGCATTTCGTTTCGTTTGTTTCTAATAACGATTCTTCATGCACAATGTTCGACGCAGTGAGACGGTCAGACCATGATATTTTCTGTCTCGAGTTTTAGTATATTGAAAGCGTTCGATGACCTTGATACACATACAAGTTACCCCTCCATCGAGACATATCGATGACACTAATATAAATTCAATACGACTCGGACGACAAAGCAGCAAAACAAAAAGGGTTTCATAACAAAAACCGGTCAAAGCCAGTCATCACCCCGATCCGATCTGCAGATTCAGCCCATAGCAAAAGTCGAAGAATCGCCCGTCACGGTGAACGTTTGAACGCCGATATCCTGCTTAAGAGCGACTTTGAATTGCTGTAGTGTGTTATTCGGTATGTCCCGTTGGCGTTCTATCCTCGATGGTCCTGTGCGAGTGATCAGCCAATAGAACTCACCATCCATGATGCATGATGCTCGTGCCAAGTACCTAAAATGACGTTAGTCGATGAATATGCATATCTTACGTACCTTGCTTGTCCGCTTCCAGTGGTACGTCGTCGAAGGATGCAAATTCGTCCTCACTACCACCCACTCACCGTTAATCTGTCTGTCCACGGTAAGGAATGTCCCCTATAGTCTCAGATTATTCTGGTGGTGTTTATAATAGTCGGGTCAGCACAAAAATACAAGGAATCCATTCGCGATGGAGTGAAAGACCTACGTACCCGAATTACATGACAGAACAACCATGGACTCTTACGTGTCTTGTTTTTCCTTTTCTCACAGTCGGTTGCGCACAATCAAGGGTCTGACGTCTATCTGTTGCCCTTTCTATTTCGCGCTAACCACGGACTCGCTGTGTCCATGATTCTTTTTCTTCTCGTCAGCATCGATATCTTGTGATTCGTATTCAAACCTTGGCAGAAAATGAACATACGGCGGTTGCTTGGCGAAGGCTGTGATTTGGATCCAGACAAGTGCTCATGCTTCCCATCTTGGATTATTTCCAATGACATCAATTCTCACAACAAGCGGTTCCTACAGGTCATTCGAAAATTCTCATGGCTCAACGAACTACGCACCGAACAATTTGCTATCGTTTAACCTTCAAAACAGATTTCGGTAGGAAACTGGACACTCGACGACTTGCGCGGAGCGCTGTTACGATCGACATGCCGCAGCTAATGCCATTCAAAGTCAGAAATGAAGCAATGGGCGAGAGGACGCTGTTATGGGACATACCATCATGTGCATCACCTCGTTGCAGTGGCCCCCACTAACGTGAAGCGTTGCTTCGTTTCACGCCGCATGTACACTACGAGGCGACATACATAATCATGTTTTAGAGCGGAGCTACGATATCATGTCACCAACACATATAGCTGGGTAAACGCACCAAGTCCACCAGGATCTTCTGGTATCAACCACCATCTCACTCAGTCGAGTCACTACCAATCCACCGTCAATCAGTCAAGGATGAACTTCAAATCCCTTGCCCTACTCCTTACTGCCGCTGCAGTCCCTCAGGCCGTAGTCGCAGGTCCGCTTGCCTACGCCATTTGTCAGACAGGTAAGTTCCAATCACATCATTGCGTGTCGCCGACTCGACCTATCTGGCAGGGTGCAATGGCTTAGCTGTCGCTTGCTACGCCGGCGCTGGATTCACATTTGGGGTCGCAGTCCCTTTAGCACCTCCTGCGTTGCTTGCATGTAATGCGGGCCTGGGAGGGTGTATGGCGGCTTGTGCCGTAGTCGCGCTTACACCCACTCCGTGAGTGGGTCCTATCGTGAATACGGCGACAAGAACGTACAGGCCCTCCCCTCTTGGGAACGGCCTCTTTTTTCGTAACAGCTGTGTATTGTATTATCTTTCATCTCATGCATTGGTCTTGTGTTAGTCATGTTCTGTGGTTCGTACGTAGTTTGTGTCTGTGTTTCATCATCCATTTGTACTACTAGTATACAATCTCATCTTCCCCCTACTATGTACTCGTTGTAGCTGTTGTTTTTTCTTCTTGGTCACAAGTGCGCTGCTCGGCTGGTTTTATTCACAGCATTTCGTTTCGTTTGTTTCTGATAATAATTCTTCATGGACAACGTTCGATGCAGTGAGACTATGATGTCGTCCATCTCGAGTCTCAGTGTATCGAAACCGTTTGGTGACCTCGATACACACTAATATAAGTCCAATACGATGACATAAAGCAAAAAAGCGTCCTATAACAAATACAAGTCAAAGCCAGTCATCACCTCGATCCGATCTGCAGATTCATCCCACAGCCTCATCGAACCTCGCATTCACAGATGTGAGCCAATCACAGCCAAGCTCGACGTCGCACCCACTCATAGCCGATACTTACCATCGAGAACCAGTGCCGGGAGGTTACAAAGGACATGACAGTTCAAACTTCAAACCTCAAACTTCATAAGCCTCAGGTGAGCGAGTCTGCGTTTGGAATGACACCTACTTACAGCTATTGAGCAGGACATTATCTAATATCTCCATCACTACCATCGAAGGATATGATCGGTTTCAACCAAGATCAGAAGTGTCGATTTTGCCAAGTGATGCCCGAGGTAGAATCGAGGACTCGTGCACCTGCGCAGTGCGGTGCTGTACTAAATATCCTGAACAGGAGTTTAAGAAGGAACGACTATCTTCATTCGTCTATTTCTGCCCAGGGGAGAGTAAGAAGATTGGGCACTGAGAGCCTACAAGTGTACTTGAGGGGGGTTGTTGGCAGCTCGGGAGAGACAGGCGAGTAATCCGTTCACTCTCCGTTATTTTTCATATCTGACTTTCCTGACTTGTAACCTTGGTGAGTGACCATGGAGGAACTGTTACGTTCCCCGACCCCGAGCCGGCAAGGCCGAGAGAGTGCCCATCAATAATGGTACTCAGACTAATGTTCACTGGGATGGCAGTTTATCAAAGGCTGTTCCGGCGGTTACTACATCACACTGGGCCCTTGTGTACAATCGATGGGCTACACAATTTCACTGATGGAACTCCTTGGATGATGCAAATGTAACAAGAAGATCTTGAGAATGATGTCAACTCGAACAAATTGCAGAAACAACGAACAATTCTTCGATCTTTTGCGGTGTTCAAACGTTTCGCCCGTGGTTGCGACCTAAAAAGATCTGGTGCGTTGCCATTGATGGCACTGGATTGACCTCCCTCTTGAATATTCGACCTCATGCGACCATACTTCGGTCAAGATGGAATCAAGATGGCAACGGGTATCACCCTTATAATGCTAATTTTGGCGGTAGAGTCAAGCGCTGGACGGCGGGTATTTAGAACGAACGCCATTCTCACATGCCCACGAAGTTTTCCGCTCACTTCCACCCATCCCCGAATAGTATGACAGATGATCCCAGTTGGTGGCCGTTTATCAATTCGAGTCGCACAGCCAGCTATTTCGCAGGTTCGTGGAGGGCTATTCGGACGATATATCGATCTAACATTGGTTACTGTTTTGTAGTTGCCGCCTCTGCCGGAGTGATGTACGATTGGGGTGAGTAAGGTGGTATTAATGAACGACTGGCATTCGACTTATGGTATTTGCAGCGCTAACACTCGGACAAGAGGTAGGTTGATGACGTTACCGGAGTAGCCAGCGCGCTAAGCCTGATTTTATGGGTCGAACTGCTCTGGGTGAGCAGAGTCCCACCAAAGAACAACACGAAAATACAATTGATTCGTTGCAGAGGCAACGCTGGTCCCTGATGACTGTTCTCTATCTCAGTGTGCGTAGCATCCATTTGTGATTGGTAAGTTGTACTGACTTGAGAATATCTACATAGTTGCGCTATCTTGGAATATTATATGCCGTGTACGTTAGAAGGCTAAGCAATGGGCGCTCCGCTAATCAGTATCTTATATAGCCTTAACATCCTTTGTACCATGTCTCCTCGCATGCACTATTTCTTTCTTCTAACCAGTCGCATACAGTCAATGTTTTAACAATTCCAATGACTGATACAGTGAGTATTCTGCATCAATTCTTGTCGTTGTTGTCCAATCACTACAATCCCATGTAGGGGTGAGTGACATTCTTTACTAGCTTGTCGGTTTAATGTAATGTGATAATTGCCGCAGCTGTGAGTTTGTTTGGGGCGTGTGATCCTTCGAGGTTGGTCGCTCACCTCTGGATTTTTCAGGTCGTATTATGTACCTCGCAATGAGTTGGGTAGACGTCGTCGTATTGGCAATAATGGGCGGTGAGCTGGGCAGCTGTGATACCTCAATTATACTGAAACATCGTGCAAGTGATCATGATCGCTCGATTACGTGCCATGTATCAACAATCCAGACGTCTATTGGTTTTTCTCATTATCGCCTTCCTGGCAGTCAACATCACGAATGGAATGATCTTCGCAATAGCGATGAAGGGTATTTTGGAGGGTAAGTCATAATTGTGGAAAGATCTGTGTGTCAGGCTCATCGGGTGATGCAAGAGGAGCTCATTCTCTCCGGCACCTACCAGTGCATCGATAGCTTGGAGGGAGATGCCCTACTTCTTTTTTCTATGAGTTGGACACTCGCTACTAGATGGGAAGCACTGTGTCTCGTAATTTGGATTGCTGTCAAACACTTCTGTGAACGGCAACGAGCATGGTTAACTATCGGGGACTCTGTCACAGAGTTGATGAAAATCCACGTGTTTTACTTTGCAAGGTGAGCTCATAATGTGAACAGGGTCCTCATTTTATGCTGACTCTTTACTTGTCCTAGCTTTGTCGCTATTTCTTGCTTGAAGCTTGTTTGTCTATCTCCCACAATCTCAGTGGTATGTCGATCTGTGACTGACCTCTACGTGCGATCACGCCTCATCATTTTCACAGGACACGTATTCTCTGGGAGCCCAGATGTATCTTGGTGTTCTTTCGATTGTCTCGCTTGTCCAAAAGTTTGTGCTGAGGCCACGCCTCATTCTTAGCGTTCGAGAATATCACGCTAAGCTTGCGGCTGACTCCGATGCGGGGATCAGCATGACTTCCATCGTCTTCCAAGATCGTATACACGTGTCAACTCACAATGGTGTGTAGCACAGGATAAACACTTGCTGTGTACTCTGTAAGGAGCAGCTGAACTGTACGCTTCTTAGATAAATTACTACGTGAAGTATTATGTAGCTGATTGATATCAAGCATCTAGTATGAGAGTATAGTTATGCTATGAGTGGAAACATCGAAAGTGCCAGTAAATAGGTATCGTAATTGTTGCGTCGCAAGCAAGCCATTCTATCGTCCTACGCAAAGCTGTAAACATTATGCAGCGGAGATCCTTGCGCCGGATTAGCCTAAGAAAAAAGTACCATAAGCCAGTGGAACAAAAAGATGCATACGTACGTGAACTTACAGGGTAGACGACTTCATCTCGTGAAAGCCGGATTTGGTGTTGGGGTAAGTATCCCTCAAGCATAGTTCGGGTATAAGGTAGAGAGCTGACTACCTCCTCTGCAAGCAGGCGTCCCGGCAGTAAAACACTCGGTTCTGTTATCAAAGCACCGCGTAGTCCACGACCGGCTTTCTCCTCCTGTCGAGCCCATCGGATACTCGCAGGATTGAAGTCCAAAATAAAGGCTGCAGGACGGGAATGCTCATCGGGGATGCGATTCCGGCTATCGCTGCAGTCTACGTTCGTGGAAAAAGCTATCCTATAGCCTTCCACGTCCTGCAGGGGCTCTACGTCGCCTTCCGTGCGGAGGACCTCGTCGATCAAGAAAACACGCGACATTTTCGGACCCCATTCTCTCCAGAGCATCGCGCGGTCAGAAATGTCGTTGACACAAGCGATGGAAAGTAATGTAGCAATGTCAACAGCGATGTCCAAATGAGCCTCCTCGACACCCATGGCAAGGGGTATTGACAGAGCCATGATTCCGCTGTTCGGAGGGAATACTTCCCGAGGGCGCTGATGGGACTGGAGCACCTGCTCTTGCAACGTTCTTGGTAGTATCATACGACTAAGAGATATAGATGCCTGGTCCTCGATACGGGGTAAACGCAATGACAAGTGGAGTCTAACGCAACCAAACAAAGAGAGGTGGCTTGGAAAAGTAACGTCATAAAGGCGGAGTGTTAGTTGAGACGGGTTCGAGGCTTTATGAATGACGGCAAGTGTACGAGAATTTAGAAGATTAAAATCGTCGACTTGGTCGGGATGAATCCCCGCCTTATATACGCCAACTATTGGTTAGTTTGATTTACTTTTCGGGTCAGAAGACATGTGCATACCAATTTGAATAATGCATTGGTTTTCCAGTTGCAAAGCAAGAGTGTGTTGGCTTGCGCTTCCAGCTGGTTAGAAGGCCGATCCGTTGTGAGCAGCGCGCACCAGGGACCAAGGATTCTTAGACCATGAGCATGAAGCGGAGCAGAGAAATATCCCATTGGATTAATGCCGGTGAGGAGAACACACGCTGGACTAGCAGCTGCTGGATGCAGAGACATCCCTCTCAATGAGAGGAAGCGGAGATATGATAATCCTGTTCTGAAAAATGGTTTGTCGATACTATTTAGTTGCAGGCATTAACGTGGGAGGACAACCACTGACCCAAGGTGCATCCGTAGGAGAACAAGAAGGTCCTGCAGTCCATCGGCGGCATAGAATCGAGTGATCTCGTCAATTTGGCCATGGTATGTTGAATGTTCAACCGTGTCCCCATGGAAAACAGTTGATGCTACTTGTCTGGATACATACAAAGCTATATTTTGAGAGTAGCTAGTGAAGTGACTATCATTCAAAGTTGAACGACAGGACGAAGTGATTGGACGCATCGTCCTCCATCTGTTTTCCCTACACCTGAGGGAAGCCAGTGCCTGCGAAATGGACTCCGTCTGTGATGCGGACGCAGCATTGTACTCCAGACCCTCTTGATTGAGCTCATGCAGGTATGGGGCGCGAACAAGTCCACAAATGGCTTTTAGTTGTCTACACGTCTGCGAGAGGGTCAATCCGACGCGTACGCAAGGGGAGACGTGACGACAGCTACCTGTGAGACACTCTCCATGTCACTCATAGGTGTCAGGTCGAGAAGATATGCAAGCACATCGTCAGGGAGGCGAAGAAAGTGGGACGTATCAGGCATCGGGGAAAATTGGTCAACGTCTAAAGGAGTCATTGGAGAATCTATCGCATAAAATACCTCGGGTCGAAACTCCGATCATATCTGTTCGTATGCACATCAGTACAGTTTGATAGTACAACCATCGTATCCCATCCATCGGCACTCCGAGGAGTCGGCAGTAACTCTTTTTCGCAGCGCAGAATGTGGCGAACGATGACCACATGATCTATAAAGTATCTATAAAGTAAGGGAGGAGGGTGTGGGAGAGTCTCGCCAGCTGGCATGGCTTTCGCGTAGATGCGCTTAGATGCGCTCAAGGACGCTTAAGAACGCTTACAGTCGTTTGCATTGGTTTAGATAACCGAACCGTTACAGTGTGTGAAGAAGGTTTTCGACGCCTCGGGTAACCCCGACGTACGACGACTACTACGAGACGAAAACTAACGCAATTCAAGTGAAAGTAGTGTAGATCTATGTATTTCCATGAGTAATTTAATCCTTGCTGCAGGCCAGAATGTTGAAAAACTGGAATTTAAAATTTTCGTCACAAGAATTTGAAACATCATGAGAAAAACAGTGTTTGGAGGCCTGGGAGGCATACCCGGTGACTAGAAATGATACTACGGAGCTACGGGAGGTTGTTCTGTGCCCCTGCGGCATTGCTAACATATGCGAGGGCTTCGGCTGTCATACCAATGCGTCGATGAGACTTGTACTTCCTCACAGCGAATGCAGCTTGTCGAGCATCAAGTCCTTTTCTAATTTAAGAGTTCAACAAATGTTTTATTTGACGAGAAAGCAGTAGCGTACCTGTAAGCGTCCATACAGCGCCAAGATTTGCAGAAAAATCGCCGGATAGTCAAGGTATCACAAAGCACCAGTCCCTGTAGCTATGATGCATTCGTTAGCATGTTTATTGATGCATTAAACCATGCTAACTAGCAGACTTCTAGTAAGCCTATAGTCCATTGCTCGGTCACTTAGTACAGTAGTACTATCTCGTAGTTCGGTCAATTATTGCTGGGTCTTCGGCAACTTAATTCGAACATTCAATGAAAGCCGGTGATTCAGAAATTATGAGGTTCGGTAACTAGTGACGTTCCGGCCAGCCGAAGCCGGGCCAGATTGAGCCGGGCCTAGGACACGGGCTGACGACTCAATGTTAAACTCGCCTGTAACGAGATCGCCTTACCCGTCTGCTCCGGAGGGGCTGCAGTGGACGACGGGATCCCAGTGGCATTTGTCGCGAGGTACGGAACGAGCTCGCTGTACTTGTTGATATACGCGTCGAGCGTGGCTGGCAACACAACCCGTCAAAACAAAATTTCCTGCAAGGAGCTCAAAGAACAAACTTGCCATGTCCAAATATCGTACTCGCACCTTCGTATCGCGGCACACTATACTCAGGCGTCGTGACGTAGTGTCCGTACGTGTTCGCAGGGACCCGCGATCATCACATATGCCCTATCGTCCAGGACACCTTCTGCAATCAGCCTCGCCCTCAGTGCATCCCTACACGAAGAGCACGTCTATCAATGACTGAAACACAGGCACAAAATGTACCCACCTCATCCTCCTCCCCGCCATAGTCGTCAACTCCCCTGGCATCGCAAGAATCACGAATTGCCCCACCCTCAACATCTGCACGTCCACTGTCCCGGGCGACCAGTCGTACGGCTGATGGTTATATCCCGAGTTCAGTAATATAGGCTTGGAGTAGCGACATGGGCTTACGTAGTTCCGCCAGCGAAAGAGTAGCCTAAGGGAGTGAGTTCAGAAGGGAGCGATAACGGAGGAGGAAAAACACTCACCAAGAGCAGCGGAGCATGTTCTCGCAAGTGTCCCATTTGGTAACGTAAACGAATAAGTAGTCCTTCAACCGTATCAATCTCACCGCCGATTCAACGAAAGATGCATGAAATACAGCTTACATATCAAGATATACATGTACACTTTTCACACTCCCACTCACAGCAGTCGTATTGCTGTCTTCCATTACAGTCCGTGTTGCTTCGAATTGTGCCTGCCCGATTAGTCTATTGGACTCAAAATCCGATATGTGGAAGCCGGGACCCCTTAATATGTGGAGAGGAAATAAGTTAAAATGAAAGGTGATCCCAAGGCTGCTCCGTGTTTGCTGTCGTTCTCGACAACAGAACACGCTGCAGCATACGACATGGGTCGCGAACGACAAAAGAAATGATGTAATGAAAAACGCATGAACAGTGCAGCGCATTGCGACGATAACAGAAATGCCAAAAAGTAATGGTGGAAGAGCAGTGAGTACGCTGTCTCTTGCTGTGACCATGGGACAATATGGATGTCAGGAAGAGACAACATACTTGCTGGCTCGACCGGGATGACTGAGTTATTGAAATCGAACGTGAAGAGAGAGGACAGAAGGAAAAACCGAGACAACATACTTGCTGGCTCGACCGGGACGATCGAGTTATTGAAATCGAACGTGAAGAATGCAAAGAACGAACAAGCAAGTGAGGATAAAGGACAGAAGGAAAAACTCACCGTCCGTGACAGTCCTCGGTCCGATTACCACATGTCGAATGCTCAAACTTGCCACGCAGGGTTGGCCATCCCATGGGTTTCCGAGTAATTCGCAGTAGGCGCCCAGGCTATTAGAGGCGAGTAGGGGCAAATGGATTATGTGTAGGGTATAGTGCGTGTGGTAGAGCATGTGCATGGGTGAAGACTGGGAGGTGGGTTATACGTGTCGTAGAAGGAGAAAGGTGTATATATATGCGCATTGTTGAGGTGGGAAATACGATGCAAACGAAGTCAATACATCGACATTTTTGACACTGCAACAGAAGGCTCACGTATTCGGGGTGGTATCGCCCACGTTGGCTTCGAGTGCGGATGGTGACTCACATTGAATGAACCCTGCAACAAAGGAATTGTTGCCAAGCATCGAGGAAGGCTCGATGTACGCTACCGAAGTATTAGATTTGCCAAATGTGGGTGGAGGGAGACTCACATTCGTACATCCACGCTGCCATGCCCTTGTTATCACCGCTAACCAGGGTATTATTCTACCACCTTGAGTTTTTTTTAAAAAGTCAAGCGCGTAGAAACATTCACGCACCTCATACAAACTCGTCCCATGCACAGGGAAGAAGCTCAGAAACCCCATCGGATAAACGCGCGGCTGCGCTGGCGCATGTGGAGGCCAGTGTCTGTTTGCGATAGGTATGCATAGCCCTGATGTGTTGATTAGGTGGTAAATAAGATTAGAGATGAAGTGGGACATACCATCATACTACTATGATTCATAGTTGTCTCGACAACTGGGCTGTTGGATGTGCCATGAGACTCGTACCCGAAGAACAGCAAGAAGGCGGCGAACGTACCCAGTAACATCTCCAATGCCTGTAGCAGAGATTCTCAATATCGCACTGGCTCTCTGGCGAACATGTGCTCACCAAGGTTAGCTATGATTAATGAATTATCGTATATCATTGATCAACAGTAATATGATGCCATCACCGATGGCAGGTAACCGCAGCACCCTATTTCCATATATGGAGCGTGCGATAGGGTTCGGGGAATTCGGGGTGGTCAAATTCAACTCCAGCCTGTAAAAAGCTTAATTTCTGAATATGCCATCTGCAAGCTGGTAACTTACTGTGGCAGGACTTGCTACATAGTCGAAAAGGCTCTCGCAATCAAGTTACACTCTGTTATCCCAGCGTCAATGGCCGACGAGAGGACAGTTTCAGTTGAACAATAACGTGACTTAACGGTTCCACTTGGAGACACATAAATCATACCTCGTTGCACAAGTTGCCGCTCTTCCATCCCGGAGTTACATGCACTAGAGGCTATGCTCATAAGCGAAATGTATTTAATCCGCGTGTCCATAGTGCGCTGACCTTCCCGTCTCTGCCTGCCATGGCAGCTTCTTCCAAACCGACAGAAGAAAGTTCGCATTCACCCAGTCTTCTTGCATATGATGCACCCCCGAATCACCAGGACTTTGACTCGATGACATCTGATACAAAGTTCACTGCTGAAACTAGAACCGAACTCTACGACTGCGGTCTGAAGAGTCGCAGATATGCCCTTGTCGGAGTGGCATGCTCAATCATCTTCAGCTGCTTATGCATCGTTGTAGGCATTGTCACTTTAGCCCATCACGGAGTCTCCGGAGTAACCTTGATAAATATGTCCCCCGTATATTCATTGGATCAATTTGAAGTTGATATTGGGTCGCGCACGCAGGTGGAGATATTGGCCTTGACACTTAACACAATCGTCATGTTATGCACCGAATCCATAGGCTTCGTACACGGCATCTCATTGCGCTCTGCGCTAGCCTCCGAGTCTCGGCTTCGTTTCAACACCAATCTGCGCCTTCTGACCGCAGCTCGTGGATGGTGTAACCCTAACGGTGTCCTGCTTAATGGTATTTCGGCTGTCCTCCTCATCATATCCTACAGTTCAGCCTCGCTCGTCGCATGTCTCGACCTTCAAATAACGTCAGGCGCATTTGAGGGTATTGCCATCGCAGGGTTACCTCTCATCATTTTGGGCGTCGTGCTCCTCCTCCAGGTGATGATCGCATTGTCAGGGATGCGGGCCGTCAAAATATTGACGTGGAGCTCCTCACCTTTCGATTTGACCGCCACACTGGTCCACCACACGCAACTGACCCCTGCTACTTTGCGGTGCATGCGTCCTACGTCTGACCTAGACACATATGGTCCAGCGAAGCCATCAGAGATGCAGCCCTCTGCATGGCATGCTCACCCTAGCATCCGGAAAGTTGTCATTTCTCTTTGGGCGATCGTTGCAGCATGCGCTGGATGGGCCGCACTCGTCATGTACATCTGGGACAAGTCCCCCAGCCTGAAAGTGTATTCCCCCCATGCGCTGACCCTACAAGCGTGGTCGTTCTTCTCTAATTGGATGAACAATCAACTCAATTTCATCTTCTATAACATGCCGGGTGTCAATATTGCGACGTGGATTCTGCTCTTTGTCAATGTGGCAGTTATCCAGGGACCGTTGACACTTGGGCTGCATTGCTCGGAGCTCATTGCAAATGCTATTCGAGACGAAAGACAGTGGAGATACGCTACTGGAAGGAAAGGACTTAGAACGGCGACGAACCCGGTGAAGGCGATTTTCGCTCATCCAATATGTCTCGTCCTTTTCGCCGCAAAGCCTTTCCTGCGTGAGTCATTCTCGCCTAGTATTTTTTGTCGGTGTTATCAGTAAACATCATCCTTGACGAACACAGACTGGATGTTTGGGCTCTCACTTGTGACATCTGCCATAGCCTATGACGAGAAGCTAATAGAATTGTCGGTAATCATGTGTACTGCCCAGGTTCGCACTTGCTGCCCAAGTAAAATTGTAACGACATCCTCATACCCTCGTGCAGATCTGGAACTTATGCATTGCGCTGTTTATATTTTCCTGTTTCTTCACTTTTGTCGCACTGCGCCGACCGCGTGGTCCCCAGCCAGCTGCATATGGCCACGTCCAGACGCTCGCCAACCTCGTGGACGAGTGGTCGCCTGTGATGTGGTGGGGACACAAGGAGGATGGAATTCCGTACTGTCATGCTGGTAGGCTATTTGTGTGCTCACGATCCTACTGCTTTGACACTTTTAAAAGGGACAAGTGATCACCCGCTGCCGGATGTGAAGATGGACTGCGTTTATGCTGGTTCCGGTGCTGGGTCTCTGGTACCCCTCTCGTGAGAGGTACTTGCTTTGCTTTATAAACTTTAAAAGGTATTTCTCGATCCCTTCAGCCATACCGTTGAACGAGATATATACCATTTTTATGCTGTCTGCTGCATTGTAGTTCAGTTCGTCTTGTTCGTAGTTTACCATTCATATCTGGGACAATTTTTAGAGGTCCTAGATATGTTCAATTCTACCTTCAAATAATTGCCGAATCGTTAATGACATGTCGTATAGTTGACTTGCAAAGTTATGCTTTGGACTGAAGTGAGCGCCATAACCTGTAGTGATGCTGCTGTTCAGTTCTTGACATTGCCCTCCAGAGCTGGGAGAAGTGGCACTGGAGTAGGGGGCCCCAAGGCGGGGCTCAAGCGGCAGGCGGTGTTCGCCGGTGTCCCCGACTCTCGAAGAGTAGGTATATTGAGTTTGGCTCGGCCGACTATTTGGGGTACTACATAGGGGCCTGACTACCCGCGCCGCACGGATATCTGCGCATACCCGACTTTAACGAGCTCTCTGACCCGTACCCATGCGGGTGGAACCATCTAAGGTATCCACCATCCGTACTATCCATCAGTCGCAGCAGTGGCGCAGGATTTCCATGCTCCTCCCAGAATGTTTGATGAGATTTGTAGGATATAAAGCAAGCTGTCTTCCTGCTACCGAGTAATTCGAACTCGAATAGATCTTGTGCGATCAATGCGTTTTTCCTTGCTCGCCGTCATCGCTGTTCTGACAGCATTTACGTCTGTCAGTGCTACAGCAGACGTTTCCAGCACGGAATGTATTCTCGATGGTTACTCTTGTGGTAATAGCACCTTCTGCTGCTACGGTTGCTGCTCTGGCTACTGCGGGAATGACTATGTGAGTTTGCTTTTGATCCACTGGCAGGATCCAACCTCATGACTCACGCTTTGCGCTTTGCAATAGACGTGCTATAGCTTGTAAGATTCCAATTCTAGAGAGTTGTTAGATCGCCAGCTGAGTGGGTCATTCTGCCTTTGTATTGGAGTTGTGGTTTACGGCTCGATTCCCAAAGACTTGCTGAGTGTGTCATTGTGATCGTCGTTGGGCCAATTTCACTGCCGCTTGAACAATGGGAAGCCTTGAATAGAATAGAGGGATATCTCATACGAGGTGGTCGCTAGTAAAACTGTAAACAATGATGAAGTTGTACCGAGGTTCATGAACACGAAGCCTCTGGTAGCGAAGGCCAGATACGATGTCGCCAACGAGTTCAAGATCCAACCGTCTTCCCTTGTGTTGGCTGAAATGATGTGGGAGAAGATAGCGACACCGCACCCCATACCACGCTTGCGAGTCGGAACTCCGTCGATGATATTCTCGAGACATAGTAATTGATGTCCAGGTGTTGTGCATGTTGAGCGGTGAATCAACAGAACTTCCAGAACAGCCTTTCTTGCATTCCCTGCGACCCGATCGTTTACCTTGACCTCATACCATCGGTAAGCCTGATCCACAATGTCACAGCAAGCGATGCGAAGATCCGAGAAAATGCGTTGATTTTCATAATTATGGGGACCCAATCCTATATAATAAATTACACAGCAGTCATATTGCAAACGAGAAGAAAAAATGCGGCAAGAGTCTATGAAGCAATGCGATGCGATCCAAATACCAAACAAGACACCCACCCTGCTGAAGCATGGAGTGAAGATTTTTTCAACCTCTACGACTCCTACTAGACCAGTGTTTACAGGGGAAGGCGCTGCTTCTCACTCATGGAAGCGGGCTGAGCGACGATGTTCTGTCGTGAACAAGAAAGAGGAAATGTCATTTTGTCAGTACGGGCACGATACCAGGACCGACGTTGGAAAGGGTTCCATAATCCGGGGTACTGGCTCTGAAGTAAGTGTAACCGACTCACCTCATCCTCAGCAAGGCGGATGCGAGTGCTCTGAGCCTTGGCACGCGCGCTCTTGATGAATTTTGAGAGGATGAACATGCCGAAGAGGAAAACAAGCAGCCAGAATGGCGAAGACAGTGCTGGAGATCGCGTTCTGGGAGCCATTGTGGACCCAGTCATCAGTAAGACCTGAGCTGCAAGCAGCGGCCCATTGCTTCTGGCTAGGCAATGGCGTAGTTCTGGAACAGTGGTATTAAGTAAGAGCAACTTAAAAAAAACTAGCGCAGGTGCCTACCTCGATCCTGTAGATGAATTCCGTTGCAGCAATAGTCAGACTTGTGGCCGAGAGCGTGGTAGGTCTCGAAAGTCGCCGCGGGTGCCGTTCTTGAACTTGATCCTGACGAAGTCACGGTCTTCAGGGGGAGGTCCAGCGACGGAGCTCGAAGGCAAGAGCAGAAGCGTAGTTCGCTGTAGTCCTTGAGTTAATCGGCTGAATGCATTGAAGTGAGATCATACGCACGGATACCGGCGAGCTCAGGGTTCTCCTTAATCATCTCAAGCATGTGGAATAGGGAGATAAACGGCTGGTAGGAGGTCTCAACGAGGAGGAACTGTAGAGGGTCGCCGTTGAATGCAATCCGCTGGAGGGAGTTCAAGACCGTGTGGAGGATCGTGCGGCCAGCCACTGAAGAAAATAATATTAGTGGTGGACAGCGTACGTGAATTGAAATTGGCTCACAGTTACCAATACCACCGACATGCTTGTCCGAGAAGATGGCATTCTCGTGGTAGTCAGCAAAACCACGAGCCTGCTCAACCAAGGTAGGGAGAAGGCGGTGAGCGTAGGTCTTGTTGTGAGAATACCCAGTCGAGATGTAGTCGTAAATCTAGAAGAAGTTCAGCCCGACATCAGTAATCTGAAGTTAGATGGCGACACACATTCCACTAGATCACAGAGGTAATCAGCATTTGTATCAAAGTATGAGAGGTGTAACCTACAGCATTCTCAAGAGTAGTAGGGCGGCCGAAAACGTAGTCCCTGACAGCACCGAAGAAAGGACCGGCGGCCTTCGCGGTTGCCTTGAACTCAGACGATGAGTAGACATTGGAGATGTGTTGCACGAAAGCCTGCAGGTCATGGTGAGATCGCGGTTCCCCAGGTTTGAACCTTTGTATTGCTTACCGGACAGTCAATCCATGGCTCAAGGGACCTGTCGTTACCGGGATCGACGGTCTGGATGGGAACGTACTGGTAACCGCCAAGGGGAGCAACGACAGTGGTCTCGTTGGCAAGAACAATCTTGTTGGCAGGGTTGGGAGGGAAAAGACCCTGGAGGAGAGCGACAGCAGAGTCAAAGATGACATCACCCTCACCGCCAGCCTTGGCATGGACGTGGACCTCATGGGTGTCTACGAGGTCGGTTTTCATGTTCGCGATGTATGAAGGAGAAGACGAGGACATGTAGGTCGAGCGAAGAAAGGATCCGAGCTGGTGAGACTGGACCTGTAGTGCAGGCTGCATTAGCTAGGGAAGTTACAAGCCGCTACCAGTGACTTACAACACCAAGAGCAGTGCTTTCGGTGTAGGAGCTCTCATAGGTCACAGGGTCCTGGTAGTACTCTGTGCGGTCACCATTACGGGCGATGATGAGAACACCAAGAACGTTAGTCATGTTGGTATTGGGAGTAGGTAGTTGGTGAGTGTTGAGGAATTGGAGAGGAGGAATGCTGCTGTTCTGTTGTGACAGTTGGAATTCTGGTCCTTAAATCATGGTAGAACGCCAGCCCCTGCGCCATGTATGCCTTGCACTTGTCACTCTAGATCACATTAGGTTAGCAAGGAGAAGGCTTGGAAAACGCAAGGAGGGGACAGCATGGAGTTAATGCATAGAAGCTTGCGGAAAGCAGTATGATGGCCGTTCTGTAAATTGAAAAGTGCATGCGTACACTTGCTTCCTGACGGTGGTAGGGCCAGCTGAGTACTTGAGTACTGAGTTGGCAATTGGGCGCTCCGCCAGGCCCAGCGGAGTGGGTCATTCTGCTTTCGTATTGGAATTGTTGTTCACGGGGCTCGGTTCCCAAAGACTTGCTGAGTTGGTCATTACGATCGTCGTTGAGCCAATTTCACTGCCGCTTGAGCAATGGGAAACCTTGAATAGAATAGAGGAATGTCTCATACGAGGTGTGGTCACTAATAAAACTATAAACAATGATGAAGTTGTACCGAGGTTCATGAACACGAAGCCTCTGGTAGCGAAGGCCAGATACCATGTTGCCAACGAGTTCAAGATCCAACCGTCTTCCCGTGTGTTGGCTGAAATGTGGGAGAAGATAGTGACACTGCATCCCAAATCATGTTTAGTCTGAACTCCGTCGAATCTCGATGATATTCTTGCGACCTGACCAAGGATATTCAACCAACCAACGATGCAGTCTACGATTGCGCGATGGGACTTCGGACAGAGTTGAGCTGATGCCGTATATAGCCCTCTGCAACCACTGGCATGTGGGAAATGCAGAGAGGCCATCAGCAAAATCTCAGTTTCCATTTTCGGCCGCCGTTAATAATTATGCCACTTTCCCCGCCTTGGCGTAGTACTACACCTCCGGCTAGTACCAGCTTTACAGAAATTATCATCATCTTATTTACTGAGGCCTGGCCAGGACAGTTTGTACACCCTGTGCTCTCTGTTACACAAACCGGCCGGCTAAAAGCTCCGGCCGGTACCATTTCTACACTGTTTTTGCACGTCCGGGGAGTTCTACGTGGAGTTCTGACTGACTTCTAAGTATGTGCTCCCTACTATGTACTCGTTGTAGCCATTGTTTTGTCTTCTGTCACAAGTGCGCTGCTCAGCTGGTTTTATTCATAGTATTTCGTTTTGTTTGTGCCTGATAATGATTCTTCATGCTTAACATTCGATGCAGTGAGACCATGATGTTGTCCATCTCGAGTCTCAGTGAATCAAAACCGTTCGGTGACCTCGATACGCACTAATATAAATTCAATACGAGGACATAGTAGTGATCCAAAAAGGGTCCCATAACGAAAATGAGTCAAAGCCAGTCCATCATCTCGATCCGATCCACAGATTCATCCCACAGTAAAAGGCGAAGAATCACCCGTGAACGCCGATATACTGCCCAAGAGCGACTTTGAATCGCCGTGGTATGTTATTCGATATGTCCCAGCTGGCGTTCCATCTTCGATGGTCCTGTGCAAGCGATCAGACAACCGCACATATTCGCACTTTTGAAAACTTACCATCGGATATCAACCGTACTCGTACCAAGTACCTAAAATGACGTCAGTAGATGCACATGTATAACTTGCTTTGGGAACGTGCCTTGCTCGTCCGATTCCACTGGTACGTCGTCGAAGGATGCGAGTCTGTCCTCACTACCACCCACTCATCGTTCATTTGTCTGTCCACGGTGAGGAATGTCCCCTCTAGTCTCAGATTGTTCTGATGATATTTGTAATAGTCTAGTCAGAACGAAATAGGAAGGAGATGGGGTTGAAAGACATACGCGTGGATTAGCACCGACGAATCGAACAGCTACAGTGTCTCCCACGTGATATATGCCACTCTCGACATCAGCGAGGACGTCTCCAAAGTGCTTGAAAATAGGAGGATTGTCAACGAGCACCGAGGTCTGCAAGTCATGAGCCACTCATTGAACATGACACATCGATGTCAGACTCGCCTGTAATGAGATCGCTTTACTCGTCTGCTCCGGAGGAGGTGCAATGGACGATGGGACCCCAGTGGAATTTGTCGCGAGGTACGGAACGAGCTCGCTGTACTTGTTGATATACGCGTCGAGCGTGGCTAGCAACCCGTCAAAACACAATTTCCTGCAAGAAGCCCAAAGAACAAGCTCACCAGGTCCAAATATCGTACTAGCACCTTCGTATCGCTGCACACTATACTCCTCCGGCGTCGTGACGTAGTGTCCGTACGTGTTCGCAGGACCCGCGATCACCACATATGCCCTATCGTCCAGGACACCTTCTGCAATCAGCCTCGCCCTCAGTGCATCCCTACACAGAGAACACATCTATCAATGACCAAAATTCAAAAACACAGGCACAGAATGTACCCACCTCATCCTCCTCCCCGCCATGGTCGTCAACTCCCCTGGCATCACAAGAATCACGAATTGCCCCACTCTCAGCATCTGCACGTCCACCGTCCCGGGCGACCAGTCGTACGGCCGATGGTTATATCCTGAGTTCAGTAATATAGGCTTGGGGTAGTGACATGCGATCTGTTCTTCTGATGGGGCTGGAGTGATAAATCTTTTGACGACTTCCCAGAAGGGGTTTTGGGAGGAGGAGTTATCTCCTTGGATGAAGTCGAACGCGCCGGGGCCATCACTGAAGGATAGGTTATGGGATGGGAAGTGGTCAAGTAACATGGGCTTACGTGGTTCCGCCCGCGAAAGAGTAACCTAATGGAAGTCAGCTCAGGAGGGAGCGATAACGGAGGAAGAAAAGGCACTCACCAAGAGCTGCAGGGCATGTCCTCGCAAGCGTCCCATTTGGCAACGTAAACGTGTAAGTCGTCCTTCAACCGTATCAATCTCACCGCCGATTCAACAAAAGATGCATGGAATACAGCTTACATATCAAGGTACACATGTACGCTCTTCACACTCCCGCTTACAGCGGTCATATTGCTGTTCTCCATCACAGTCCGCGTTGCCTCAAATTGTGCCTGTCCGATCATCCTATTGGACTCGAAATCCGATATGTGGAAGCCGGGACCCCTTGAATATGCGGAGAGGAAATAAGTTATCAGTGTATGTTTTGGTGCAAGAAACGAAAGATGATCCCAAGGCTGCCCCGTATTTTCTGCTCCTTTCAACGAAGTGTGGAAGCACGAGGCAGCATAAGACATGGGTCACGAACGACAAAAGAAATGATGTAATGAAAAGCGCATGAACAGCGCAGCGCATTGCGACGATAACAGAAATGCCAAAAGTAATGGATGGAAGAGCAGCGAGTACGCTGTCTCTTGTTGTGACCGGGGTGAAATGCGGTCGCAAAAAGAGACGGACATACTCGCTGGCTCGACCGGGACGGTTTGGATGTTTATGGAATTTGAACGTGAGGAATGAATAACGGACAAGTAACCAAGTGAAGGGAAATGTCAGAAATAAGAACTTACCGTCCGTGACAGTCTTCGGTTCGATTACCACATGTCGAGTGTTCGAACTCGCAGGGTTGGCCATCCCATGGTTTTCCGGGTGATTCGCAGTAGGCGCCCAGGCTATTAGATGCGTATAGGGGCGAAGGGATTATATGTAGATATATGCGTGTGGTAGAGCATATGCATGGATGAAGACCGGGAGGTGGGTTATACGTGTCGTAGAAGGAGATAGGTGCATATATATGTGCATTGTTGAGGCGGAAAATACGATGCAAACGAAGTCAATATATCGACATTTTTGACACTGCAACAGAAGGCTCACGTATTCGGGGTGGTATCGCCCACGTTGGCTTCAAGTGCCTTGTTATCAACATGAAGGAAGGAAGAAGGGATGGTGACTCACATTGAACGAACCCTGCAACAAAAGAATTGTTGCCAGGCATCGAGGAAGGCTCGATGTATGCTATTGAAACGTTAAATGTGCCAAATATGGGTGGAGGGAGACTCACATTCGTACATCCACGCTGCCATACCCTTATTATCACCGCTCACCAGGGTATTGTTCTACCACCTTGAGGTTTTTTAAAAGTCAAGCGCGTAGAAACATTCACGCACCTCATACAAACTCGTCCCATGCACCGGGAAAAAGCTCAGCAACCCCGTCGCATCTCCATCCGCATTCTCAAAGCCCAAAACCGTCACCGTCGTATCCTGATTCTCCTCGTACATCGCTCTTTCCCACTCCGGATTCGCCAAATACGCACTCGGGCTCCGATTCCGATTCGCATTGAGCAGCGTCGTGTTTCCCAGCTTTATATTGCCCGGAACGAGTGAGTTGTGCGCGTCTACGATGGCTTTGAGGGTACCGGAGACGATGGCGGCTGCGGTTTCGTTCACGTATCCGAGGGAAGTGACTTGTGGGAGGAGATTCTCGAGATAGCCACCGACGCCGCTGTGGGCATGAGTTCCGACGAGGGCAGTGTTGGCGTGGGTGTAGAGGTCTCCGTAGAGCGATTGAAGGGAGGAGAGAATGGTTCGTCGGATGCCGGTGTCACCCATGCAGATGTCTAGTTGTCAGGGTATGGTTGAATGGGAGGGTACAATTCGGATATAGATAACGTACCAGAGTTAATGAAGAGCACACGCTCGGAAGGGTTAGAAGCGTCGGCGATGATAAACGCGCGGCTGCGCTGACGCATGTGGAGACCAGTGTCTGTTTGTGGTAGGAATGCATAGCCCTGACGAGCTACTTAGGCGGTAAATGCAATTAGAGATGAAGTGGGACATACCATCATATTTGTCTCGACAACTGGGCTGTTGGATGTGTCATGAGGGTGCCCAAAGAACAGCAAGAAGGTGGCGAACATACCCAGTAACATCTCCAATGCCTGTAGCACAGATTCTCAGTATCGCATTGGCCCTCTAAGGCTGTGCTCACCGAGCCCGATCAGATATTCCCCACTGCTGTTACTACCACCCTGGACCTCGATAGCTGGTGGAATAGCGGTAAAGAACGCAGCTAGATACATGACGAATAAGCGCATGGCGTCATGAATCCAATTGAATGGAAAGGCCGAGTCTGCCAGTGCTGTGGAGAATGATGGGAGATACATCTTGACTTTGGCTCATGTGAGGTCTTTGTGACTGAGCTTTGCACCTAACGGGCTGGTGAACATGTGCTTGAAGTCGGTTGATACGACACAGGAGATTGACGTACTGTACTTGGCACTAGAACGGGACTTGTGATTGTTACTAGATGAAAAGGATTCAGAGGGATAATTGGGAACGGAGAGGATGATGTTGGGGAGGGTAGAAACGTGTGGGAGTAAGTTCATGGAGCCGTGCGAGCCTCATTCATTGACCCCTATCTGGTTCCACTAACTCAGCTCGAGCTGTACATAGGTGTCCTCGCATGCACTAACTTCACCTAACCTTTCAAAATTTCATGTCGTACACACCATCTGACATTCAATATTCAACACTCGGTGATCTGGACTAACAACAAGAACGCGTTGGTTGCAGCAGTCGGTTAGCGGCGCTTGATCCATCGTGACCATTCCAACAGCAACTTGCGCAATTGACAACGATATAGCAATGATACGAAAATCAGAACAAAAGCTAGATGCCATCAAACGCGTCAGACTCAGCCTAGACTAATTATAACCACAGTATCAGCTGACCAACGATTTGCCAACGATGATGCCCAAGTACTACTTGCTCGGATTTTATGTAGCAAGTGTCGATGATCTGGCATTCGATAACGACCTGTAAATCTCTCTTCAACTTGAACGTTCCGTTGATGTACTTAGACTGATCAACCTTTCAAGAACTGTCCTACGCCCAACAACCAAGAACCTTCTGATTGTAGCAAGATATAGTATGAAACTTGTTATCTACAGCACCCTCAACCGAACAACACACGATTCGCTGCATCGATAAGCTCGTTGTTCTCCCCACCCCTTGATACGAACGGCTCGAAACCCAACGCCCGACGTCCTTGGCTCGTGGTGATATCTTGTGCCGTAGCTCGCCCTGCGAAAGTAGATTCGCCGGAGCCTCCCGGGAAGTCCCTGCCAGTATCGAGCAATCAGCGTCACGAGAATCGCTCGAGACAAAAGACATACGGAGCGGGGAGACCGTGAACGAAATTAGCTCGCTGGTCCCGAATGTATGATGCGCTGAGCAAGACAGACTTCAAGTTGAGCTTAGACTATCAGCTACGAAAGACTCACTTTTTCACGGAAAGCGGGACTGCAGGAATATAGAAAACCGACGAATCATTTTGACCACCATGCAGTTGTTCAACGGAATGTACGGTGTCGCAGTGCCCTGCGCACGAACACAGTCAAGAAATGTAAAGAGAATATAAGAAACCACACACAGTAAACTTGATCACCAGGTTGAATCTCTGGAACACTCGTCATGGTCTCGCCGAGTCTCAAATGCGGGTGCGTTTCTTCGTTAAGCTCCTGCCCCTTGCCTGGTACACTCCCCGGAAACGAGCTGCTTTCCAAGTCCAGCTCCCACTCACCACCTGTAGGGCCAGGACGGAAGAAAGGACGAAGCATGATGTACGCAGTCGCTAGAGAGACCATTGGAAGTACGCGAAGTGTACCCTCACCAACTCCAGTCGTGGAGAGTGAGGTCCAGCCCTGCCAACAACGGAAGACGGAACATTGACCCCTTCCGAACACGGTGAGCATGTGTATAAAGAAGGACGTGGAACACTTACGGTGCATTGTATAGATCTTGCTTTGCATCCATGCGCCAGGACACATCAAATGGGTCGTGTGACCTCCAACCCGCTCCACCTGCTAAGATTCGGCGGAAGACCCTACGGAACATAGGATCCTCCCAGCGCTCGACGCTTCCTCCATCGATATGAGGACCAACTGTGAACGATCTGTCACCGGGAGTACGAATGCGCAAGCGGTCGAAGTAACTGATAGGTGTACTAAAGCAGACGTGCTTGTTTGATGGGTCATGCCAAAGCTGGAGGAGCTCTTGTTGAGTACGGAGAATGGCGGGATGAGTACGCGCCGCAATTTGAGGTTTGGTGTTGTAGAGCTCGTATACTTGAATATCGTTCGCTGGGAAGCCTACGACACGACATCAAGTCATCAAATGAAGCGTGAGGGAAAGTATGGACCTTTGACAGGGTTTGCAGCGATATATTCCTTCACCGACGCTTTCCACTGTAGCACTTCCTATATGTACCACGCTAGTCAATAGACCTGACTGATATCACAGTGATACAGTGAACAGACCTCCTTTGGAACTGCGCCCGTGACTATAACAACACCAGATTTCTTGATATGATCCTTCTGAGTGTTGGACAAGCCACGTTCAATGTCGGTAAACGAAACACGAGGGATAACCTATTTTCCTGCCAGTGTCGGTCATGTAAAAAAGCACTTGAACAGGTGCGTATACTTGTCCCCCCAAACTAACAATCTCTTTCGTTCGTCCTTCCAAAGCAGCAAGAACCTGCTTCCAGGCCAGCATGATGGTCGCATGGGTTGCGCCCATATCAGCGAGCACATCCTTCTTCAGCTGAGCGAACCGAGCTGGAAGTGCAGGGACTTCGGCACTAGGGCTTAGTGTTGTGAACACGTCTGCGATCGTGCCTTCTTGTTTGGCTGCGCGCTTCGTCTGTGCAGCTCCTGCCATCATTGTGCGGGAGTGCGTCCGAGAAAGTAATCGAGTGCTAAGGGTATATCGTGCATTCGCGTGAAAGATGGTGGAGACGATCATGTTGATGGCAGGGATGCTAGATGGCAAGGACTGATACCAGGTTGCATACTTAGTCTAAGGAGCGTTCAATCTCCGATTAATATTGTTGAGTTATGGGGCCCGAGGATTTTCCGAGGTGATTAGTATTCAGGGGCCATATGTACATCTGAATAAATCCCAGTAGCATCCTGGTAGCAACATTAACCAAAGGGTCTTGCAGACGAGTCGAATGCAAAATCCGTTGATCAATTCAACAGAGCATGAGATAGTAGGCTGTCAGTAACATCACGAGGTAAGAATTGGGTATCAAATTTTTACTTGACTCACCTCATTGTCTTGTCATCCAATTACATAACATCCAAGCTGTACCGAATTCAATGCGTCAGAACTTGTTGCATTAGCCTCCAAGCAGTAAGTCCGGACAACAAATTTCCGTAGCACAGCAGAGTGTTTGGCTCCATTGACGAGTACTCAGACTGAGCGAGTCGTTCAAGGGCCAGCATTCTGTTGTTTATGCAACGAAACCACTGCAGTACACAAAAATTCCCGCTACCATTGTGGAGTGGGTCTCGGGTCTGGTGCATGGTCCATGGTTTCTGTGTAAAATCTATACGACCCACTTCAATTGTTTGCTTTGTTCGCCGACGGTCTATCACTCGATCATTTGAAAAGGCATATGGTCGTTCATCGGATACCCGCTTTTGTTGGATTCCCTTCACTCTCTGTCGATTCGAGGATCTAGAACCGACATCACGCTGCGACTTATGGTTCATGAATCATATAGCTTCTATCACATACATTGGGTACGAGAAGTCCATAGTAAGTGTACAGTAAGAAGGAGACCTGATTGCGAGCAGATATGTATACAAGAAAAGTCATCAAAGTGTCTATCTTCTTCATAATACCACGCGGTACCCCTCATCCATCGGTTAACCCGCAGACCCAAGCTTTATCCCACTTGTAGTTACACTGCCAAAAGTGTCCCTTGTCATTTGTGACCTTGAAGGATATACCATCCGATCGAACACTTTTCTCTCCAGGAAGGGTCTTGCGAAGCGGCGGTGTCCCCCAAGGGAAAATTTCAGGGTCTTGCTTGAATAGGGGAGCAGAAATCGTGAGCCGTTCCACATGCAAGTCTGTTCCCCGTGTGTGGTCGATATATGAATGTACATCGAGGGTCCCAGTCAGATGCGGGTAGGCTACTGAAAATGTTTCAAGGCTCTTCATACAGGCCCACGGAATGTCGCGCATCCAGCACCTCAGCGCGTATCGTGGAGATACTAAACCCATAGTGATGTCGCCAAAATATGCCGAATCAGGGTGCAAATCGATCAGGTAGGTGAGATGGGGGATTGATGGCAGGAAAACAGTTCCCTTCCGAGTGTCAATGCTCCGGAAGATCTGAGCCTCGGCGTCGTGACCCCGGGCCGTTATCGTTAGACTTTGGGTCTTTCCAGGAAAGGGGGAGGGTCGATGCGCGACATTAGGATCTCTGCGGGATTTCCACGCATTTTCCACGCTCTGGACAACAAGCCTTAAAGAGGAGCAGTCAACCGCAAGTGCCGGTGAAGCCAGTAATGTCGGAACCAGCACGCTCATGTCCAGCTTGAGCTCAGAATCTGGTGAGCGACATTCTTTCAAGCTACCGATCCACATCCTCTGTATAACGGAGGTGTAGTCAAAGAAAAGATCGCTTTTTTCAGCAGCATATGCTTGTTGAATCCGCAGAGCATTTGCGAACATTCCAACGCTGTGAGATCGGCGGAGCAAGATGGTGTGTAGGAGTTTCGGCAGGGTGATGCGTCTCACAAGTCGAGAGACGGAGCATAGGGAGAGGGCAGTTGCATAGGGATTTTTGTCGTCATATTTCTCTTTTTGGGAAAACGTCGGCTCTGCCGCGTGGTCGAGGATCATGAGGAGAATCTCAAGAGGTAGGTCGCTAGATCGAGAGCGGGTAGCAGGTTCCATGATGGGGGAGTAAGATGCTGAGCTGGTTAGAAGGAGCCCTGCCTTAAATACGCGCCTCATGAATTGTGGCGTCACACCCACAGCAATAGATGCACATTGTATGTGGGACCACAAGGTGTAACCCAGTGGTCCAGAGTAGACTGATTGTTCCTTCTAGGTCGCACAATGTACTCTTGTCCTGTGGAAATTAATATTTGTTAGTCGCCACAGATTATCATAGCAATGATGCGGATGCGGCACGAACCACAGAGTCCACATTCCCACCAGACTCGATGACACGCACACGGACTCATTCGGGTTTCGTCATGACACAACTCTCACAATGCATGGTTGGCCACTGAGTTGAGTTGTTTCCGGGCAATTTTCACTGCACTCGAGTAGCAGGTAACAAGGATGCTCGATGAAGTATGAAATAAAACATATTTCCAAGTCGATTAAGAAGCACTTGCCGGATTTCCCAGACTGATCTCATAGCACCCCGTCTGCGCGACTCGGAGCTACATTGTTTCACCAAGCAGATGCAAACTTCGATCGGTGAGCGTCCCTGCGCAGGTGAGTCAGTGTATAAGCTGCCCCTCTATCTTGAGGTTGTTCAAAGTAGGCGTGCTTACTAGTTAAGGTTGCGTCGAAGTGCAGAAGGATTTCAAGTTGATGACTGGGTCAAAACTACCAGCTCGACTCACTCACCCAGAGGACGACGCCACAAGATTTGTATCGTGACTTGAGTAAATGACACTACAATAGAGAACAACGTGAGGGATAGGTATATGCAAAAGCAAGACGACCACACCGCGAGAGTATCACGGTAATTAATACAACAACTTGATGTTGGACTAGCGTACAAGTCCACGCGTGAAAACGACTCGAAGTGTAAGAACATACGAACTTGACCTTTATTGCATGGAATCGCAATATCGCAGATCCAAGGTTAGCACAGTTAGGAAAGCCTGGAATTAGCGTACGAGATAGTGATTCCAGCGTGAAAACACGCTAACTTGCATAGTCACCTGAACACAGGCGTTAGCATAAAGTTCCAGCCAGTCCCGGGTACTCCAGCACGGTACAAAGGAACGAAGGGTGGAACATAGGGTAGTGACGAGACTTAGAGCATAAATTGAACATTCGAACCCGAGCAAGTAGGGGTAATGAACATGAAGGGGCATTAGTCTAGTAGTATCAGACGGATAAGTGGGACAGATAGGTCTCCATGGTCTGCTGTGAAAATTATAATCCAACACATGCATATATTATCACATACGACGTACCGATGAAAACCGCTCAGATACCTTATCTTTGGGGGAAAACATGCATCTACAGTATTTCTATCGTCCTGACGTCCATCGGGTCTCGATCAGAAGCCACATCTTTGACCTGTGCAATGATGTCACGATCCGACGCAACTCTCTTGTATTCTCCGCCGCGCTGCCGCGCTAGCAAAAATGCGCCAAAAGACTGCCCAAGGCGAACAAGCAACCGTAATGCTGGCGATTCTAGACCATTGACCTGTTGTTTTACAAAAGAACGGCTATGCGAGTCGTCTGATGGAGAAGGAGGGGGCGTCCAATAATCCCCCTCGCTCTCTGTATCGTCTAGCATATTTTCAAAGTCTGGTAGCTCAAGCAGAGACCGATCCCAGGGACGGACAAGCACGAAGGTTTGCTGAAGCGGTCTTGTGCGTGAGAACTGAAGCAATCGGCTCTTTAGTGGTGACCAGTAGGTCTTGAAGTCCGTTTGCCTTGACTTCATATCGAGTCTCCTGGGATGGACCGTGACTCAGACTGACTTCTGTGCACACGAAATGCCATGCAAGGCAGATGGAGTCTGCAGTTCGCGAAGCGAGCAGCGCTCGTGTTATCAAGCTGGTCGTAAAGTTTGGAAGCCAATTCCACAACCACAGGATTTTTTCGCAGCGAAGAGATAGCTGTCTGAATCTGATCTTCGGACAAGGATGGAAGGGTGCGTGGAGGAGTGGTGTAAGAGGTAATACAGGCTGGAAGACAGCTATTGAAGCTCGGACGGTTGTCCGATCCAGTCGAGGACAGTGATGTCGCCCGACCGAGCCACGATCTCCTGCAGGAGCCGCCCGAGCGCGTTCTGCTTCTTCTCGCCGTAGATTACAGGTAGGGTGATGCCGAAGATACCAAATAATGAGTACGCAACGTCTTCCTGTACAGTGGTGATGCGCTTCGATGCCCATTGCAGTTTCTCTCGGGCGCCGCTCATACCTGGACGGAAGGTCACCAGAGCCTGTGCATCTATGCCCGTCGCATCCTCCAACTCCTTCATGATTGCAGGGGACTCTTTGTGGTTGGCAGAGCGATCGTCGAGATATAACGACCAATCATTTTGATAAAAGATTACAACTTTCGGAGCGACGAATTCTTGAAAGGTCCATCCTCGCTCGTTCCAAACACTCCTCGCCAGTGTACCGGGCTGGGATGAAGGAGGGACATCGCATAGGTATACAATGGTGAGCGCTGAATGACGGTACCAAACGAACATGGAGTTGATCGATTCTTGAAGCTCGGTATTGCTATTCTTGTCGATGCAGCATGTGTCCATCCATACCCAGCAATACCCAGCATCACGAGCGACTTTGCAGAATGACTGCAGTTTCATGATGCCACCAAGTCCATTCAACTCGTACACGACTTTGTCCTGGATGTCGTGCAGCAACGCCTCTGTCTCTTCCCACCTGTGTGATAGCAGGACGCAACGGAAGTACGTCGCCACCACGTCTTTGATGCGTTCCGTTCGGAGGTCTGAACGTTTCGTTGTGGATGAAAGAAGCTCCTTGTACTCTGAACTCATTTTGAAGCAGTTTATCTGTGCCGCTCGGTTGCACAAGAGACCCGTGGAAGTGTTAAGTAAACGAAGAGGGGCGTTTTCGAGTTCAATCCAAACGGCTTTTCGAATAGTATCTTCCGCCTCGGATGGAGAGATATACTGCTGACGCAGCTCTGCAGAACGAGATAAGCATTTTTTTAGTGTTCCGCTAGGTCATACCTCGTATCTGTGCTTCAGGAGCATCGTCCAACTTGGACAACATGATTGTGAAGGCCTCGATGGCTTCATCATAACGTTGCGCGCCACGCAATGCTGTATGTGTCAACTCAAATCCAACGTGAGACGAAGGATTGAGCTCGGTGACCTATGCATCACAGAAGTCAACATGGGCTACGAAAATATAGACGCCAGCGCACCTTTTGCGCATCAAGGAGCGCATCCTCCCATAGCATTTTACCTAACTTTGCCTTGCTGCGATTTGCAAACATGACATCAGATGTGTGATCCAGGTCGATCGCCGCCGAGTATAGGTTAATAGCCCTATCGTACTCGCTCGCGGTGAGGGCGGCATCTCCGTTGACAGCGCAGAGTGCGCTGCATTCTTGCTCGAAATCTGAGAGAAATGCAGGTGAGGATTGTATCCTGCATGTCACTACGAACTCTACACTTGCCATTGGACCAGTCAAGGCAATCGGCCTTGGTATTTTCGTCACTCGAAACCATCATGTGCCGGTATGATTTCACGGCATCTTGAAGTTTACCTGCTCGAAGGAGTGCATAGCATCGTTTCTGGTGTGCCTTTTGCCACAAGGACTGTAAGTCCCAGCCAAAGAGCTGGAAAAAACACTCAGTTATGAAAAGCACCATGTATGCACCATCTCAACATACCACCACCACATCCTCGTAAGTTTCATGAATATCTGATTTCGATGATAAATTGCTGGAGTTGAGAGCGGCAGCGAAATAGTCAGCGGCTTCGTCGTAACGCATGCCATCCAAAGCTTTGATTCCGAGTTGAACACGTAAATATGCCTAATGTGTGAGGTTGCAAAGGTTAGTGTTGATGACCGGACGTGGCTGCATGATACTTACTTGCACAATATGACATGCGCGAGTGTCGGCATTTGGACACCCGGCAGTGAGTTCTTTGAGGAGCAGGTTTGCCTCGTCATGTTGATCTGCACTGAAAAGTGCAATAGCCTGAAATACATGATGAAGCGGAGAGTATGGGAGGCAACTGTAATGTCATACCTTGATCAAGAGCAGGAAATGAATGGTTTCTGAATCTTGGTTAGTGTACATGGATGCAACATCAAATGCTGCCCTCGCATCCCGGACATGGCCTTTTCCGCAGAGGGCGATGCCTTTGGAGATATAGCCTGTCAACGAGGGCTGAATGCTAATGGACTATGTCATCATCGAGTTAGCCTTTTGTAAGGGGGCCATGAGCAGTGCATACAACTCGCCTTGATTGCATCTTGAAGGGCGCGGTCCCAGTCGCGTTTTCGAGTCATGACGAACGAGCGATGAGCGTAGGAAGTATGGTTTTTGACATCAATGTTGATATCTTGCGTGAGTAGTCGTTCGGCGGTAGATAAGTCTCCATTTATGCATGCTATGCGGGCTGTCGTGATTGCTAGTATCTGCACAAAACATGCTCGAATTGTGGTATATGAGTCAAAGACGGAAACATGCCTTTGGATGAATACCCTGAGGTGCCCACTCTGAGATCATCTTATCGTAACCTCCGCTGAGGATGTGGTTGCCGTCCACGGAAAAAGTAACACATAACGTCGAAGATGAGTGATTGAAGATGGAAATGGATCGTCGATCTGAGAGCGTCCAGAGACGGACGTGGTTGTCAGAAGACGCGGAGGCGACGAGTGTTCCAGCAGGATTAATGGCAATGGCATTGATGGAGGTAGTGTGGCCCGTCCAGGGATTACCGACCTGCTGCCAGGTTGTTGTATCCCATTCGCGTATAGTAGGATCGTCCGAACTGCCGCCTATGAGAAGGCGTGTGCCATCGGGTGTCCACGCGAGTGAGTAGTTCTGTGACGACTGTCCTGTGTGAGCCTTGAAGGATGTGACGCATTCCCTCGTGCCTGGATTATAAATTTTGATATTACGGTGTGTCGCGATGGCAAGAAGTTCGCCAGACGGCGAATATCGAACACAGTTGACCA